GATGTTTTACTTTGATCCATATGCAGGGTCGATGTACCTAATAATATTTCTCTATGAGATTCTATTCAAGTCATACCAATATTCATCCCCTTTACCGACACGTGCTGCTTAAGCGTCCCTCACAGTGTTTTCTTTAGTCTTCCTCTCCTGCCGCTTGCAGGAACTTGTAAATTAAAATTTCTTTGTAGTAGGTGATTATTGTCTTGACGTTAAACATGCCCAAAATCTCTTAACCTATACTCTCATCAGTTGGTGACACCTCTAGATTTCCTCTAATATAATTATCATTTAGCCTTCTGCGTCCAAAGTTGAACATAAGCATCACCTAATTTCCTTCAGTTCTGTGGGTCTCGAGCTTCCTGCAGAAAATTCCCATTGATTTTTTGACATCGTTTGTACATCCTACAGGTCATTTACATCCGCTTTAACTATCAGCTCATGATATCCACACCGTAATTTTTTGGGTCCACCACCCATCATTAATTCTGACCTGCTCAGTTCCACTTCAGTAATGCTATGCGCTCTATGACATCTGTGACGCCTGTCCTTCTTATCTCTTCATTTCTAATTCTGTCTTAGAGTCAGTCTAAGCAGCGAGCGTTTCATTCACCTTTGGGCTACTCTGAGTTTAGTCACTGTAGCCTGGGAAAGTGGTTTGGCACCGTAATTCATGACGAAGCACACTATGGTCGAACGTCTTCTTTTTTTAAATAAGTTGGCATGTTATTCTTGAAAATATCTGATAGAGCTCCATATGCGGCCCATGCTAAAGTGATTCTCCTTTGCAGTCCAGCAGTTTAATTGTCTCTAGTAATTTATATTTTATGACCTGAGTATTTATATTTATGAACTAATCCTATTTCATTGCAATAGACTTTTGGATTTTCACCTAGTACCAGATTTGTTATGTACTGTGTCTTTTTAAAATTTGTAATCCAATAGTTCTATAGTTCCAATTTCTTTGGGTGGGAGAGCATTTTGTCGTTGACATTGATTTCTTAGGCTTACTACTTCAATTTTTTAAAAGTATGTTCTGCCGTGAAAAGTTTGGAAGATAACGTATTACCTTGCTGATTTCTCTTTGATTTTTATACATTTTATATGTTTTTTAGTCTTACGATCATGGTTGCATTATTGTATATATTCGCGATCAGTTTGAAGTACGATAAGGTATGCTTTACTTTTATTACACTGTTAATTTCTATCATATCGAATGCTTTGCGAAAGTTTGCGAAACAACAAAACAACACCAAACAAAACCACAAAAACCTCAACACCAACTATTAGACATCCAATTATTGAAAAACGACACCATACATCAGACAGTAAATAAAAAATTAAACAAAAATTTAGAAAATATCGACCACAATAGAATTAGCGAGTACGATGACATAAACGTTCTGTGGAAAACTATTAAAGAACAAATGAACAATGTAACGGAAAAACATCTAAAAGTAACACCTAGAAATAACAAACAGGAATGAATGACAGAAGAGATTTTACAATTAATGAACAAACGAAGAGAATCTAAAGGAAAAAATGACAAGGACGGAGAATACAAAAGACTAAATAGAATAATTCGAAAAAAATAACCGAAGCAAAAGAGAAATGGCTGGAAACAAAATGCGTTGAAATAGAAGAACTGCAACAAAGGCACGATTTTTTTAATTTACATAAAAAGGTAAAAGAGTTTACATCGACTACCAAGAGAATGACTTTTCACACCATGCTGAACACGGATGACACACTGCTAGAATCAATGGAAGATAAACTGAAAGAATGGGAAAACTATATTAAAATTCTTTTTCACGACATACGAGAAGAACCAAGATTGGAAAATAACAACGAAGGGCCAACAATTCTAAAATCTGAAATCATAAATGCAATTAATCATCTCAAAACAAATAAAAGCCCAGGTCCAGACGGAATATACCCAGAAACGCTTAAATTAATCAGCGAAGAAAATATCGAATTATTTGTCCTTTTGTTCAATCGCATTTATGATACAGGTAAAATACCCCAAGATTGGCTGGAGTCAATATTCATCCCACTACCAAAAAATCCAAACCCACAACACTGCAATGAGTTCCGCCTAATAAGCCTTATGAGTCATGCAGTAAAAGTCCTACTAAAAATCGTACATAATCGTATCTATAGAAAGTGCGAAACAATCATCGGAGACGATCAGTTTGGATTCAGAGCCGGCATGGGAACGAGAGAGCCCTGTTCAGTTTACTAGTTCTCGTCCAAAAGTGCTACGACCAACAGAAAGATATATTTATATGCTTTATAGACTTCGAAAAAGCATTTGATAGAGTAAGACACGACCTACTATTAGAACGTTTGCAAGAAGTCGGTTTAGATGGAAAAGACATCAAATTCTTAAAAAACTTGTACTGGAACCAAAAAGCCAGAGTTAGGATCGAAGGTTCCACATCCGCAGAAGTAGAAATTAGGAGGGGAGTTAGACAAGGATGTGTTCTGTCGCCTTTGCTGTTTAATCTTTACTCCGAGTTTCTATTTAAAGAAGCATTGGAGGATTCCAAGAATGGAGTCAAGGTGGATGGCGTAAATATCAACAGTATCAGATACGCCGATGATACAGTGTTAATTGAGGATTCCGACTCAGGTCTACAATGACTCATCGACAAGACCAACTCGACCTGTGAGCAATTTGGTATGAAAATAAACATTAAAAAAACTAAAGTGATGTCAATCCGAAAAAACCAAAACGTACCTCAACCTTGCACAATAAATGGGCACATCTTAGAACAGGTCAATAGATTTAAGTACCTGGGATGTTGGATCGATAGCAGCCTAAATCCTGATCAAGAAATAAGATCGAGAATAGAACAGGGCAGAAAATATTTCGAAAAAATAAAAAAACTGCCTTGTGATTCTCGAATAAAACTCGAAATTCGACTACGTTTATCAAAATGCTACGTCTGGTCGACTCTTCTATATGCAGTTGAAACGTGGACCCTTAAAACATCAACCGTAAATAAATTGGATGCCTTTGAAATGTGGATCTACCGGAGAATACTCAAAATTTCATGAACATCGCATACCTCAAACGAAGAAGTGCTGCATAGAATAGGCAAGAAAAGAGAACTTTTTAATACAGTTAAAGTTAGAAAAACATCATACCTAGGCCACATACTGAGAAATAATAAGTACCAATATGCCCAACTTATAGTGAAAGGAAAAATCGAGGGAAAGAGAGGCCTAGGAAGGAAAAGACTATCGTGGCTCAGAAACATCCGACAATTGACAGGGCTAAATTTTGAACAGCTAATAAGAACAGCTGAAGATAGAGAAGAGTTTAAAATTGTAGTAGCCAACCTCCATTCAGGAGAGGGCACTTTAAGAAGAAGCGAAAGCTAGGACTAATGCTCGGTTGTATTTTATGGATTTTTCTTTCATTTTTTTATGCAATGAAGGTGATCGTTGGTGCCAAAGGTTTTACTAAAACCTGCTTATGTCCTAGATTGGTAAAACTCTAATTTTTTTCAATCTATTTGTTATTATTCTTGTGAATATCTTTTAGATGTGGTTTAACAGGCTTATAGGTCGGTACTTAAGATACGCAGACGACACCGTCATTATTGCGGATTACAACTACTTTTGAATGTCATAACCAGAGAGGAAGATAACTTGGGACTAAATATAAACACAAATAAAACAAAAGTAATGGCTCTTACAAGTGCACCAAATGTCGACAATAATATTCGTATCTATAATAAACATATACACGGAGTAAAAACATGGACTCTCGGAATTACAAGTATGAGGCGTATAAAAGCGTTTGAGATGTAGGTTTTTTGAAGGATGCTGAAGATCTCTTGGACAGAGCACGTGACCATCAACGAGATGCTAAGCAGAATGGGTACTGAGAGAGAACTCCTAAATATTGCAAAAAACAAAAAAACGAGTTATCTAGGACATATTTACAGAGGAAAAAAATACAACTTCCTACGACTTATAATGGAAGAAAAAGTGGAAGAAAAAAGAGGTCCAGGAAGAAGAAAGTGCTCCTGGTTGAAGAATGTAAGAGACTGGACATGCATGGACACATATTCGATACTAAGAACAGCTCAAGATAGAAAGCAATTTGCTGTAGTTATAGCCAACCTTCATTAATGGAGAAGGCATCTTAAGAAGAAAATAGGTCGGTAAATAGGTCGGAAAATTTTTGGTATGTTGGACTGCCCTTTATGTGTAATACAATTGTTAGTGCACTGTGACATCTTGTAGATGTTTCACTTTGGTGCAGACATAAGTTGACCAATTTCTTTATATTCTCTCAAAATTTGTCTCCTTCAATCTTTACGTCGTCTATAATAATATTATCTTCTCCTACCGCTTTATTTATTTTAATTTTCTTTAATGCTTTCCTTATTTCGTCTGTTTATACATCAGGCATCACTTCCGTTCCTTGGTTGATTATTCTTTTTTCTGAATTTTCCCTTAACATACCCATTCTTAGTTTCATCTTTTTTATCACTTCACACATCCATTTGAGCTGATAGTTGTTCCTCCTTTATAACTACTTCACTTAATAAAAATTCCAAAAATTGTCTCTAAGAAGATAGATATATGGTATAACCATATGGGAAGAGTATTTACTTTATCACGTAAATTGAAATACAAATATAAGAAAAGGATCATAGAAAAACTAAAAATGATTTTATTAATTAAATATATAATACTTATGAAAATTATATGCTAAGCTATAAAAGGTGAATAAAAATATAATTTATAATAAAGTTGTTTTTAAATAGTTAAAAAATAACAGATAACAACAAAATAGGTTACATCAAAATCATACAATAAATTTTGTTTCTACTTTTTTTTTTGTTTTCACTATATAGTAAACTACGTGTCCAAAATAATAATATCACATATTGAATTATCCAAAGCCACTTTCGTTCGACCTCCGAAATTGATATCGCGTTGTGACACCTCATATTTATTTATTTTTTTCTCTGTTCACTTTTCAGGTCTGGTTCAGCAACCGACGGGCGAAATGGAGGCGCGAAGAAAAATTACGAAATCAACGTCGATCTGTCGATCACGTCGGAGCTGTCAGCCCCCCGGCGTCGGCCCCCCGCTTGCCAATCAATTCCGGCTTCAATTCCATGTATTCGTCGATACCGCAGCCCATTGCGACTATGGCCGACACCTACAGGTAAGGATGTGTGTAAAAATAGAAACGATACCCTGATAAATATTTATATACACCAAGGATCCCCTTGGGGTTGTTATACTCGGGAATCTTTATTATATACTTTTTCAATCTATGAACAAAAACTTTACAAAAGCTACTAATATATTTATTTCGCTCACTGAGTAATATTGTCATATTACTTTTGATTGTGGTGACGTTAATTATGTAACAGTTCTGGCCATGTTTGGATCATATTATAAAATAAGAACTTTAAGAATAATTACCCATCAAGATCGACTTTCTGTCATATGATATTTATAATTGATAATGGGTGCAATGATTCAGATTTTGAAGTAAAGATTGGTGATGATTTGCTTTTGTACAGAAGTATAGAGGTATGGCTTCTTTGTTTATCTGGCATTTATCCATCTCTATAATTTCATCATCATCATTAGGGCTTTTCATTCCGGGTGAAATATTTGCCGCTCTTACTTAGAGCTCTCTGATTCGTTTATTGCAGTGAATCACTTCGCATTCCACTTGTATGTTGTCAAAGTTTGTTATGTTACTTGAATTTCGTTACAATTTTCTTTCACTCCTTTCGATATGTGCATAGTTCCCTCCAGTTTCTCACTTCCAGAATTTGGAGAACCCTCATGACCTGGTCCTCCTATCTCTCTCTGGGTCTTCCCCTTGGTATTTCAGTTGCTGGTTTCCATCTGGAGATCTTATTAATCAGTAGGTCGTTTTTCCGTCTCTCTGTGTGTCCCAGCAATCTCAGCCTCCGTGCTTTAATAAATCTAACTATATATTTTCACTTCATTATGTCTCTTAGTTCATGGTTTATTCTTCTTCTCATTTCCCCGTTGTCCATTCTTATCGGGCCCATAATCCATCTGAGGATTTTCCTTTCGAATTCTCAATTGTCAGGCACATTGTCTCAGCTCATTGATGCACATTGTCTCAGCTGCGTGCGTAACTACTGGTCTGATTGCAACTCTGTATATTTTCAGTATTGTATTTCTGGATAAGTTCTCGTCCTTTATAAGCCTATAATATCTCCAGTATGTTTGATAGAGATATTGCTCTATAGTTGTTTTCTCCTTTCTTAAATATTGGTATAATTCTGCCTTTTTTCCAATCCTCGGGCATTTCTTCAGCTTCCCATATTCTAACTATTAGGTTATAGATGCTTGTTAATAACTTTTCCCTTCCGTTTTTAATTAGATCATGGGGAATTTCATCTGAGCCAGGAGTTTTTTTCTGTTTCATTTTTTGAATGATGTCTAAATATTTATCATATGTTGTTATCCTTATTTTATTATCTCTAATGTCTTCCATTGCGTCTACTTCCTCTTCCGGGCTTTCTTTGCATCTATATAGTTCTGTGAAGTGTGTTTCCCATGAGCTATTGTCAATTTTAACTACTGATCTGCCTTTTCTTTGTTGAGCTTTTAGGTATCTAAATAGTTTGGCACTGTCTTTACTATTCTTTTCAAGGTCCATTAACAGCTCTTCCATCCATAGTTTTTTTTTGTTCTTGCAACAATTATCCGCTGTTATCTTTTTTTCCTTTATTCGTTTCGATGATGTTCATCTTCAGTTGATATCCATTTATCTCTTGCTTGGTTTTTCTGTTTGATTTTGATTTCGCATTCTGCATCAAACCACTCTTTCCTTCTTTTATTTCCCTCTGTCCTAACACCTCTTCAGCTGAATTTAAAATAAATTCTTTTATATTTTTTCATATGTCCTCTGTGATATATGCTTCTTTTAGATTTTCCTTTAGGTTTGTCTCATATTGTTCTCTTAGTTCCTGTACTTTTAACTTCTCCAGATTCCATATTCTTTTGTTTTGTCTTGTTCTCTGTGCTTTAATTATCTTCATTCTGCATCTCTTTAATTTAATTAAACAAAATTGCTAGTCAACTTGTTACTGTCTCACCTAATGATATTTATACTACTGCAGAGATATCACCTGGCCCAACAACTTTTCTGATTAAAATATTTTGCGATTTTTGCTCTATGCTTGGCTATTTTATATACCTTTCCTTCCTGTCTTTCTACTACTACTAACTATAATGTCATCTTTTAGATTTTTAGCTTTGGCTGCATCCTCTTTCGCTTTTTCGTACCTTATAATTTTGAATATCTTTATCAAACCTTTCTTGTGACTCTTTATGTGATTATCTTTTATTTTTTGTTTTAATTAGTTTAAAACAACCAGACGTTATTGTGTTAAGTTTCTTTTCCGAGATTTTTCCAATTTAAATTATAGTTTTTCCAATAATCGGAGCCATATTTCTTCAAAATTTATGACTCCCTTTATGTTCCAACAGATTTTTCCTTCTTCTTCGTTGCTAAATAAATGTGGTTCCATATTATTTATATTTTTAAGACATTTTGATTTTTATTTCTAGTTCTCGTTTTATCGTATGCTTTACCAAGTTTATTTTTATGTTATGTGTGGTATAATATGTACAATATAACATTTTATAAGTCATACCTATAAGTATAATGTTAAAATATCCTACGTGATATAGAAATCCGAACACAGAGTTTAAATGATTTTATTACAATAAAATTTGGTGTAATTTATTTATCCTACTGAAAAAAACAAATGATACAGTTTTTAGCCTTATCAGTTAGAGATTCCGGTATTTTATACTTTTTGGCGGATTGTGGTTCTTGACATCCTTTACTGTTGGTTACGATGCCAAGAGTACGGAAACCTGTACGATTCCGTCAACTTAGTGAGTTTGATAGGGGCCGTATAGTGGGACTTCGGGAAGCTGGATTTTCTTTTCGGGAAGTTGCAGTTAGAGTGCAAAGAAGTGTAGACACCGTGGTTAAATTTTGTCAAGCATGGCTTCAAGAAGGCCGCACGCAAAGAGCAAGGGCCACTGGATGCCGCCGTAGAACAACAGACCGTGAAGATCGCCGCCTAAGATTATTGGCCTTAAGAGACCCTTTCTCCACTAACAGCTCCATTGCAAATGAATGGATTGCAGAACACGGAAGAACCATTGGCATGCGAAGTGTTTAACGACGAATGAGAAGTTTTGGCCTGTTTTCATACCGACCACACTGGGTCCTCCCTTTAACTCCAGAACACCGCTGTAATCGCCTTCAGTAGTGCAGAGAACGGTCACTCAGGAATCAGGAATGGAACAGTATTGTCTTTAGTGACGAGTCTCGATTTTGTTTAGGCATGCACGATGGTCGAGCAAGGGTTAAAAGGTGACGTGGTGAAAGGAGGAATCCACAGTTTTTTGTTGAAAGACATGTTTATCACACTGTTTGAGTTATGGTTTGGGGTGCTATAACTTATGGTTCTAGGTCACCTTTAATCTTCATCAGAGGTAACATGAACACGCAGCGTTATATCCAAGAAGTTCTAGAACCCCACCTTTTACCCTATCTTGACACCCTGGCAAATCCAACTTTCCAACAAGATAATGCCCGACCACATATTCAAAGAGTCACAATAGACTTCTTTCAACATAATGATGTCACATTGTTAGCATGGCCACCAAGATCTCCCGATTTATCCCCAATTGAGCACGTGTGGGATATGATGGGTAGGAGATTGCGCAAGTTGCAACGTCCTCGTCAGACTCTACAAGCACTCCAAGAGGAGTTGGTGGTTGTCTGGAATGAGATACCATAAGAGAACATTGACCACCTGATCAGAAGCATGCCTACGCACGTTTGAGAATGCGTAACACATCGGAGTGCATCCACATATTATTAAAGGTAAAAGGGCTTTAAAGCAATGCAATCATTTTAAAATTTTAATCATTTTTTTATTATGCTTCATTATGTACTTATACAAAGTTTTATTAAAATAAAATCATTTAAACTGTGTGTTCGGATTTCTATGTCACTTAGTATATGTTAATATTCGGTTCAAAATGATATTATTAAGTAACGTGCTATTTTTAATTTGAGTACGTTCATTTCATAATATCCAAGATTCACAAACTTTAAATTATTTACGTCCTAACAACCAACAAACTCGCCGATTTTTTTTTAGGATAACTATATTCTGTGACTTCACAATTTTTTTTTCGTTAATAAAAATATTCTTATTATTTGAACAAGTTTTTTTTCGGAACAGAATGTAATAGATGTATCATAATAAGTACACTTTAAGCTGTGATTCTTTAGCAAATTGAAAATTTTTAACTTATAAAAAGTTACGTTGTGGAAAATCCACATTACAGATATTTTAATACAACATATCTTACAAATTTTTCAACGCGAGACATCGAAGCTTACATTAACCGCCGCTTCCACCAAATGATTCAGAATATTTAAAGCTTCTCATCCCAGTTACATTAGAATACAATGACGGATATACAACAAGCAGTAGATATGCCTGCATGGTGCTTCGTATAGTGTAGCCCTCTGTCTATGATAATGTGAATATGAGCCCCCTTTTCACAAAAATGTCTGTCGGAATCTGAATGACGTGACATGCTTGTAGCGGTCACGTCACGTCAGCGGCCTCTCGTGGATTAACCTGATTCTCCTCAGACAGGACAAGAGACCGATTGGAACGAAGAGAATGTTGCCAAATTGGGATATATTTCTAGACATGTAATAAACTTAATAACTTAAAGATTAGTTTTAGGTTATTTGTAGAAAAAATATTAGCCAAGTTACCAGTTACATACTGACTTAATAATATAAACATTGTTCGATAGCTAATTCTAAGCGTAAAGTCTGTAAAGAACTTTGAATTTAACAATCTGCGCTAATAATCATTACACGAACTTTTTTGTTCGATAATTTTCATTATTCTTTTACCAAATATTTTATGCCTACAGCACCAAAAATTGAACAAAAATCCGCTACATAAAGAATCTCATAGGATAAATTAGAAAAATAGTACACTAGCCAAAATAGTGAAGAGACTTGAGTTCTGAGTGCGCAGTGGCAAACATTTGCAAAAGTGGGGACATCTTACTCGTTACTTCTTACAGCTTAAATATCAAAAAAGTTATAAATTATCAAAT